AATTTTAGAATAATTTTTTAAGATTTTTAAAAGATAAATTAATTATTTATAATATTAATAATATTAATAATTTACTAAATGATATAATTTTAGAATAATTTTTTAAGATTTTTCTAAAATAAAATGAATAAATACTAGTTTCTTATAATAATTAAATACGGTAATATAATTCCAAAAAATCTAGAGAAAACTTCTATCTCTTTAGGAGTGGTATTCTCGATCTCAAAGTCGTGGTGCCTTAGTTTATATATAGGTTTTTAATTAATTTTTTTTTTATTTATGATTAAAGTAATTTTAGGACGCCATCTCTTACATCAATTTAACGTGTTAAAAAAATTAATTTTTTTAAATATTTGTCATAAGAATTAAATTTTAAATCAAACTTATAAAATGATATTGATAATCTAATTACTTTTTTAAATACATTAAATGATGTACCATACAATAGGAAGCAACCTCTTAACATTCAAATTCAAAAATTTTAATTTAGCATTTTAAATTTTTTACCATTTAAGATAGCTTAGAACCAGTAACCTAATTAATTAATTTGTTATAACCAACTAATTAATAGAGGAAGTTCGCATAAGGGCCCCAAATGCATGTAAAATTATTCACAAGCCGTACCTTTCTTAGCCTCCTTCTGAATTCAATATTCCTGTGTTGTTCCACGGGCCAAATTATGAGTGCACATGTATATGGTTGTGAAAACCATTCAATTAATATTCCAAGTATGACCCACCGTGACGGAGGTCTTCATTCAGGTCGGTTTGCTGCATAAGCTATTTAATTCAGAAATTAATCAAAGCCAGGCATGTGGGTCTGCAAAAATCAATGTTAAATAGACAAAAATGTTTTTTTGTTTTGGAATCATATCAAGTGAAAAGGAGTGGGGAATCTGATGCTCAGTTTGTGGATGATTTGCTTAGAGATCAAAACGGGTCTAAACAGGACATACTTACCTTCGATAAATGCTTGCATGTCATTGATTTAGCAATTTGTAGCCGTGGAAAGTAGTCATGTCTTTAGGGAACCTAGCCATATATGCGAATGGCGTATGCATTAGCTAAGTATGTTCTTGCTTTCTATAACTCTTTTGTAGCCCATGATAGCGCAAATATGTATGTACATATCCAACAACCAATATGTGAACTTAATTAAAGAACTATGCTTTCCTTTGTGTACAAAAAGAAAGAAAGAAAAAGAATAGTGGGGTTCTACAAAACAGTTCCTCAGCCTCACAAACCCCATCTCCTTTCCTCTTGTAATAATTGAAGACATAACCATCTCCAATAATTAAGACACTACTAGTAGAAATTTGAAGGAGAATGGTTGACCCTAAAAGCGTCTAAGATCCAAACAATTTTTAAGTTCCATAAAGAAAAAGGCATTACTTTTTCTCCCGTGAGGCATGACTAATTAATTAACTTTTTTCTCTTTGCTTTTTATGTACAGTATATGTGTAGTGGTGGTGAGAAAGCGTCGGCCAACGGTGGGACATAGGCGTGTCCCCTATGAGATTCAAATTTACAACCCCATTATAAGTAAGGGAACCTTTTTTAGAGCTTGGAGGATAAGGCGATTTCTACATGTTTTAGGCGTGCATGGAATGTGTGCAACTCAAAACGGGTTTGCTAGAAGCTTTTAATATTCTGAAAGTAATAAATGTGTTTTAACGCAAACTTATTTACATCGCAACGATTTTAATGAATGGTTTTTGTAATCTGTGCTTTTTTAAGGCATAAATTCAG